TTTTGTTAAAATAAAAAAATATAAATTTAATGAGGATTAGAAATTTTGCTTTGTTGTTTAATCTATATATTAATTTATATTATAGATGATTTCCAGATTGTTCGTTCAAAAAATTTGCAGTCTTAATTTATTTGTATATGATACAGGTTCTCAACAATTTTTCAGCACTGAGCACATTTATAGGTTATGTATGTACAACTTTCAAAACGATCATTCATACTTACAATTAATTATTAGATATTTATTAAAATAAATATTCAATATTTAATAGAAACCTTTTATATATGCAGCAGGCAGCAGTAAAACTGTTTGCTTGTGGGCACGAATGACGTCACGCGGGCACAGTGGTGCCCGCAAGTTCTATGTTGGGAACCTCTGGTATATGACAATACACTAGTATTTTAAATTACTCAGTCCTTTTAAATGTTTAACAATTTTTCTTAATATGGACTTAAAGGAGTAAACATTGGTCTATTTGTAGTTATAACAAAACTTTAAATAAAAACTAAAAAGTAATTATGTAATGCAATAAAATTTTCAGTAGCAAAATAACTCGATATAATTCAGACTTTAGTGATTAATTAAAAATGAAACTAATAATATAGAAAAATAAATAATTTTCTGCTTAAAAGAGACCATAAAATAATTTAAAATAGACATTTAAGATACTACCCCACGTTCCCTTCAGAAAACGAATTCTGCATTCTCCATGAGACCTCACCTCGATGAACTATTCAGTGTCCGTAAACCGCAGGACCTTGTACCAGATTAAAGAAGACCATCTAAAACTTTCACTCACCCTCAAAACAAAATGGTACCAGGAGAATTTTCTTTTTACTCTCGGTTGAATAAAACATGTATCTACGGAATACGTGTGCTGATTTTAACTTAGACGGAAGAGGATTAGGATGAAGTAGGAGTAATGGAACATCAAAAATGTAAGAATTTTATTAAACTACAGTTAAAGTAACAGTTAAGAGGAAAAAAAATTTCTACGGAGTACATAATCACATACCTATATTTCAATGATTAAATATACAGCGATTAATAAAAATAAAATAAAATGTTGGAGAATAAAGACCAAAGAAAGGAGCATTGAAGAAGAATACGTTTGCGCAAGTCCAAAATATAGAATATTAAAAAAATAGTATGATCACACAGGCATTTTTTCTGTATCTGTAAATTGTCCTAAAGGGACAACAGTCCCAGGATAATAAAAAATTATTGAGATTGCTACTGAACCATTTTACTCCAGTTCCCATATTTTCCTTCGGATCGAACGACTGAAAGACATTTGATTATAATTATAGATTACAAACCAGTATATTACTAGTACAATCACAGTTTTCTTCTCTCTTTGAGATATATTGAATACCGTAAGAATTAGTTCTAATAGTACGTGGTACAGATCCCTTTCTTTGAAATTATTAACATCCCGCTGAAACTTCTTAAATAGCTTCATTTCATCATAACCTACTAATTTTTATTTACGAAAATGTTCGGAATTGGGACTTTTCAATCTGGAAGGGGGCAAACTTTGTCTATTTTATTAGGTACTAAGAACTCGTAAATATCTATTTGCTTTCTACTTGGATCGTAAGATAATTTGATCACAAAATCGATAAAAAGGTGACCTTTTGATATTGAGCCGTTTAGTGTGATCTGCCCCACCAAATTTTCAAAATAACGAGGTTATGCAGGACAAACAACCCAATAATTTTCTAGACCACCTTTTTTATCGATTTGGTGATAAAATTATCTTACGATCCAAGTAGAAAGCAAATGTGTATTTACAAGTTTTTGTATCTAATTAAATAGACAATGTTTGTCCCCCTCCAGATTGAAAACTCTCCAATTCCAAGAGTTTTCATAAATACAATAGTTGTAAGTTACGATGAGATGAAACTATTTACGAAGTTTGAGGCGGATGTTAATAATTCGATAAAAAGGGGTCTGTACCACTGTCTATAAAAAGAAGTGTTGAAAGATTTTAGAAAAGTGTTTTCTGTACGATAACTTGAGAGGACTGGAGTCAGCATATTAACGAATGGAGGAGAAGGACCAATGTAGAACTGTCTCAGAAAGTGGTCATACAATATTTAAATGATTATGATAAAATGATATGAAGGCCAGGAGGTTAAGATTGGCGGAACATGTAGTTTGGAGCAATACAGCAGGAAGCCTTTTTACAACAATAAATGCCTCATAGTAGAAAAGAGACCACGTAGAAGTAAAAAAACAAGATGGATACACTGAACCAACAAAGATGCACTAGATCTGTATGCATTTAACAGGTAATAGCCCAAAATAGGCAGAGATGTAGAAAACTGGTAAAGACCAACAAGGTCTGTCAAACCAACTGAGAAATGAAAATGTCTATTTAAGATTATTGTTTTTAGATTCAAAATGAATAATTTTTTGAGGCAATGGACTAAAATAAAAGCAACAACATAAATCAATAATGTCTCATACCGAATCTTCAACCTTTCGTCAAATAAATAAAGATTGGAGTAGAGTAAATATTCGACTGATCAATTATCTGGATAAAACAAAATTGTCAGGAATTTCAGTCACGATAATATTTATTGGGTTAGTCGACGTTTGATTGGTTTGCCGAAAAATTGCTAAACATTTCGTTTTTTTCAGCATAGTCAGGACATTCCAGTTACGTAGAAATGAAGAGGTGGACTCGCTTGACATCCCAAAAGGCTTGATGCCTACCTCCTACTTACCAAGTGGATGTGCTCCAGGTTAGTTAAGGCGAAATGATATTCCTTGAGCGATGTCTGCGACAGGTCGAGACAATTTCACGAAGTCTTTGGGCTAGTAACGGGTAGGGTAGGATGTTCGTTAATGTGACACAGCTAGTAATTAAGAGAGGTGTTCTTTGACTGTGAAGGATTTCCTGTTCTACCCGTCATTTTTTTAATGGGTTAGGGTTTTTAGCAGTGGTCGTAGGAGTAATAAAGATTATAAAATAATGATTGATTTTATTCGCAATTATTTGAGAAGGCGGTTTTAACTAACAAAATCTCCTCGTTGTCAATGACTGAAAATTAATTGCTAGAAAGGCATATAATTATGGACACATATGTGCTTGAACAATCGTATTTAATTACTGTAACATAATAAAGTGAACTTGAGGTAATTAAATAGACAAACCAAAATTTCACTAATCAATCGTAATTCTGGTTCCTTATTTTATACCAGGACTAAATAAAAGTAAATGTAAAAGTGGATGGTGCCGCATAGTGGGACGAGTAAGGGAAAACTCTCGACATTGGCTAAATCAATTTTTTTTTTTCAATTGAACTATTCAATAAAACAGTGAAAAATTTATATTGTCCCTACTGGAAATATTCTCGAGTTTTCTCTTAATCGTCCCACTGTGTGCCATTTGGCAAATAACTCTGAAATTACGTAATTTTTGGTACATTATACATATGAGTATTTGAAAGCTTAATAAATTCCATTAAATTTAATATTCATGTTATTTCGTGTTTTTATTGTTTAAAATTTTCTTTTTCACTAACGAAGTTTGAAAAGCTTTGTATTCGTTTGTGAGGTAAAATTTATTTTGTTATAAAAATGGAAATTTACCCTGTTATGTTTAAAAAATGTGATGCAGTTTTTGTTTGCCTGAATCCATGGTGTCAATGAATGGTTGGAGCCTAATCCATATCATGGGTGCTGATAATCAAATTTTAATTAAAAAATCTCAGATTGTACGTGTTGGTATCTAACTGGTCTCTTACCAAATTTTATCAAATAACTTCTACTACTTTTATTTACGCACATTACTATAAAGATTAATTTAATAATTAAAGTAATTATCCAATGAAATTACAATCAAAATTACAAAAGTAATTAGATAACGGGGGAGCGGGGTAGCTCAGTGGAAGGGCACTAAGCTTTCGGTGCTCATGGTCCCAGGTTCGAATCCCGGCTCATGGCAGACAAATTATTCATTCAGTTTCATTGGCGGTTGGGCGACCCTCCTGGGGCACACCCAGCCTCTACAAAGCGAGTACCCTTAATCAAATAATTAATTAATTAAAGGAAACCTGGCGATTGATCGTGATCCTGGCCTAATTCCCTCCCTGCACAACCGTAGGCCTTGAAACAGTACTGAACCCCAAGACCCTTCATGGATTGTAGTGGTACAGATTTTTTTTTTTAATTAGATAATGATTTTACAAAATTAATTATGTGATGGAATATAAAAATAATATAACAATCTCTGATGGAATCACAAAAGTAAAATTCGATGAAATTACAAATATTACTTTAAAGTACAATTGGAGTCCAAAGAAAATACAAAATTAATGATCTTTATGATAAAATATATGGTAATCAATGGTATCTAAAGAAATTTACAGCTGTTTTTAGTGCACAAGTTCTTATGAATAAATGGAGTGATTTACAGGAGAGTATAATAACTGATTATTTCGTTATGATTTATTAAAATAATTTTATTCACCTCTGCTATTTTCCATAGTAAGCAGACTACTTAATGCAATTGCAAACTACATTTCACCTATTGTAGAAATAGAATAAACATGGAAAATTGTTACAGTCCCTTGCTCTCGCAGTAGTAAAATGCCATTTCGCCTAGGAAAATTTATTGTTTAAAAATGAATCATCATTGAAATTAAATAGTTGTTGAAGTTGCAACTACCATTTTTTTTATTTTGTTTTTTAAATATTTTCATTAATGGAATCGCTTATCTTTTAATAGAATATATTAAAAGGATTATCGTGAATAGTTCAGTCACGTATTTCGAGACACTAAGCAATTAAGTTTTTGATGTTGAGATTTTTTAATCAAAAGCGTATGTCATGGCATAACAAATCCTCTATGTAATATGTATTAAACTAACAAATACATTTTCTTTTTCGTTGTTTCTCAATTAAAAACGCATCTATCTTTCTCCTTTAAAACAACTAATTATAAAAAAGTTGATCTAACTTTCTAAATCTTAGTTATTTGCGAGTCCTTGATGCAGTGGAGTCTTGACCTCATGCGACCCTCGACCATTCATTCCCTGGTAATGTCTCAACTCGCAGACGGTATTGACTCAAAGCCAAGTCTCTGTGCTCTTTTCCAAGGAAAAATGTACTCTGTATCCATAGTGATGTATTCCCAGGAAATTAAAGTTTCCTGTAGCGGATACTTACATTCTGTATCAGTCTTGTATATCAGATTCATCCATAATTCATACATAAAGTCATATAGTAAAACGATAAAAAAAAAAAAAAAAAATTGTTGAACTTTCTATACCGTTTTAACGCTTGATAAGCAATAGATAATTTTTTTCACCTGTATCAGTGAAGATCAACATTTTATATTTGTTCAAAACTTAAGGAATTATATACATATTATTTGTTTTATTATTGTTACTACACATTATTTCGTTTTTAAATTTATATAATTAGTTTATTTTTTTTTTCTAGGTGACGAAAGACACCACCATCAGGAAAATGACGAAAATGATGAAGGGATTGAGTGGGATTCGGGTTATATCGAATACGAAGAAGCCAACCACTCTTCATCTCTGGCCATAGTAATACAGGTAGGGATTTATTTATTATGTAAACAATTTTTATTTTAATATTTAAATGATTTATTATTACATAAATAATTATAGCTTATTAAAAAAAAATCAAAGTAGGTGTGACCATGGTTTTTCTATTGTGGAGTCAATGTGACAATTTTTTATTTTTATTTTAATTTTAATTTTATTTTTTATCATAATTATAAGAAATTTATATAACCCTATGCATTTATAAAACAAATACTGCACTGGTCACTTTTTTTATTATACATATTTTTATATTAGAGTTAATTCCGAACAAATAAAAAGTTGAATTTTTCCTATTAACTATATGTCACTACTGTTAGTACAAAAAGTCGTATGTAAATATTTTAAACTTTTATTCTATTTGCGCGATAATTTATTTCTGACACATATGATTAAGGTCTTACATAATATGTAAGGGTAACCACATAGTGAAGCGACGATACTAGCGAAGATTCTAGCGACGAAAACAAACACATGCATTTCAATAGAACACCGCATAGTAAAGGTGACTGCATATGTTTGCGGATATTTTTTTGATATTTTGAGGATATCTAAAAGACTATGAGGTTATTCTCAAAGATTGTTCAGTACAATATTAAAGTGTACATTTTAATGTGTACGCTCTATACATTCATTGATAAAATCAGTGGTTAGGGAGATATTTATGGGATTATATTTATAGTATTTCCTCATTAAGCAAAAATTGCTTTAAACCTTGAAATTGATATTATTCATAGTGGTTGATACCATTTTGAAGTTAATTCATTTCAACTGTCATTTCAACTGTTATTTCGTTCATATAAAAAGTGGAGTAGCTCAATGATTAAGGTAATATATTTATATGCTTTGGAATGCGGATTCGAGTCTCGCTATGGTAGGCAATGATTTAGTTTGTTTTACCAGCCGTGGATCTACTCTGGGATCGGGAGACCCTCCTGAGGCATGGTCTTTTTAATGTGCGATCCTCAAATTAAATAATTAGTTAAGGGAAGAAAACTGGAAGTTGGAGCGTGATATCGGTCAAATCACCTCTTTACACACCTTTGTTCAAGAAAGGATGATAAATATTCAGGACACAGTCTTTTTTTTTATTTAAAAATATTTTTAATTTTTTATTTATGCCAAACTTTTCAAGCCAAACATGTGAGACATCTTCAGGACGTGGTTTGAGTAACTGAGTTCAAGTACTTGAACACCCTAGTACTTTATGACCCACAGGTTTGGGTTGAAACGTTGGCATAAATAAGAAATTAAAAATATTTTTAAATAAAAAAAAAAAAGACTTTGTCCTGAATATTTATCACCCATGTTATGTTGACCGGTCGACTAACTTCCTTCAATTTGTTCATGAAATTGTTCTAAGTACTGAACCGAAGATTCTTCATGGGTTGTAGTCGTGCAGGTGTTATAATTTTTTATAGTTTTTATTTTTTTTATCCTTTACAATGTTATTGTAGGAAAAGGGCTAGTTTTATTTTCTGTATATATTTACAAATATTTAAATATATTTTTTGTTTAATTTTTTATCATTCAATTAACCAAGTCAAGCCTCCTAATAGTAATAAAGTAGAAATTCTTAAATCAGGATAACCCAATTACTATTTTTTGATTAATATTGAACGTATATAGAATACTTTTGACTCCTATAAGGTAATGGCAATTTCTTAAATGAATGTAGGAAGCAATACGGTGAGCGGGAGAGAAAAATACACGCCACAAATGTCTTCTGAATACTAAACGTTGTAATGATTACAGTCAATCGAAAAAAAAAAAATTGCATCGCAAATTGACATCTCATTATGGTGTGGCTAACCCGCTGAGCTGGAACGAGCCTAACCGGCGAGAATAATTAACTTTTTTCTACAGACTGCATAATGCAATGCAACCTAGGTCCAACCTAGGTGCCTGTTATCAACTGCACTCATCGATCGATACTCTAGGTAGCTTTAGTCCCATTAACTAATTGCATAACATAAAAAAAAAAATCCATAGAAAAACACATTAAATGAGCAAAGAAATTCTAAACGGTTAAAAAAAAAAATCTTGCATAACAACCTGAGGTTTTTTAAATTTATAATAAACGGATTCTACATTAATTTTCCTACTTTTTTTAATGGCTACTTATTCGTTTTGTCTTTGGCAAACTACTTCCAAATGAAGCATAGATTCATATTCACCTTAACATAATAGTGAATTTGATATCTTTTTTTAATCTGAAAATAATTTCTTATAATAAACGAATATTTAAATTTGTATGGTTTCGATTGAGGTAATAAGGCACGCAACTACTACACCTAGTTACACAGGCGGATCTACGGGGGGTGGAGGGAGAGCTTTCGGACTGAAGCTCTCCCAAAACGGAAAAAATTAACCATGTTTTAAAGAAAAGGATATTAAAAACTTCATTTAAAGGACTTCAAGAATCACTTAAACACCATTTCATATGTGAAGTTAATTTCGGTACTTGTCGGTTAGGAGGCCTGGACGAAACTTCCCTTGTCATCTAATGTTACATCACAACCTACCTCCTTATATCGTGAAAGCTTTTAGTTATTCCATTGTTTATTTTTGTTCCATTTGTGTTATTTTCGTCAAATTATGGATGTTATTACATTCTGGGAATTGCCGTCTTCAGAAGAAGAGGCTATTAAATATTTTCAAAACGCTAGGATAATTCCATACGTGATATTGTGTGAAGAAGGTCATAAAATGAAGTTGGACATCAAGTCGAAATGGATATAGTTCCTTACCACTTGTAACAAAAAAGTTTCTATGAGAAAAGGAACGTGGTTAGAGGTGTCGGGGATTTCGTTTTTAATGGCTTTAAAATTTATTTATGGGTGGTCATGTCTATGTCTGACTGTCTGTGTTTTTCTATTTCATACATGTGTTGTAAAGTTAAAGTGTTTTCTCATTGTTGTGTAAATTAATACATTTCTTTTTGTCTACTTCAGTTTCAAACCAAACTGTTTTGTTATTATTACATCTGTTTTTGTTTACAATATAATATGAATATAAAAAGATAAATATGAATGTGAAGATAGGAATTATCAGTGCCTTATCAGAAATATCAGTATTCAGGTTATAACAAAGTACCTTAATTTCTTTCTTTTTTTTTTCAAATTAATTATCCTTATATATATATATATATATATATATATATATATATATATATATATATATATATATATATATATAAATAAATCGTTCGGGATGAAGCTCCCTCACAAAAAAAACAAATTAAATCCTAGATCTGTTTGTGCCTAATTTCAATATTTGCTTAAGTCAATTATGATAATAATCTTTCAATTGTTAAAGTAGATATGCAAATGATTCCCTTAAGATAAATAGAATTTACTGCAGTTTTTTTAATAATAACTAATTAATTTTGTCCATAATCTCTTAAGCTCCATTACCTTCGACCAAGTTTTCCCCTCGGTTGGGTAGAAGGCCTGTATAATCCGTGTTTGAGATCAAAGAGGAGTAATTACCGAAAGTAGGTATTCCAAACTTTCCCTTTCCAAGCTGATAAATGTCTGCACTTTGGGATGATTATCAGCTCTTTGTTTTGCTTTCGGTCTTGGGGCGTCCCGGTTATGCTCAATAATTATTGTGCGCCTAATGATTTTTAGGAATTTTCTAATGTTCTGGTTGTATAACCGTGAACGACTCCTTTCGTTATGGAGATTTTTATTGTATTTATCATATCATTATAAGTATTAGTCAGTTATCGATCCTCCAAAAAAAAAATTAATTGTAATGAAGTGAATAAATTCCTTCATGGTAATATTCCGAATTAAGCTAAACGAATAATGAAACCTGTTTTCCTGGAATATTATTTGAAACTACCAATTATCAATGAAATGTATAATGAATTTATTCTAGTTTTGTTAGGAAGCTGTTTAATTTATTGCGCTGTTGGTAATTAAAACTTCCGATATATAACTTGTTGCAAAATGACGTACATACTTACAAACAAAATTAAGAATTTTTTTTTTAAATTATGACACCAGAAATCAAACTTAGACAGTACAATAACAAAAAACTTAGCAAATATATTATCTACACAAAATATAAAATAGATTTAATTGATATGAAAACTATAATTTATAAATTAAACTGTCAAAATTGCCCTATGATTTACATTGGAGAAACATCTAAACAATTAAAAATCAGAATATCTTAGCACATCTCAAATTGCAAAAACACAAAACTCCACAGCATACATTGTAAAACTATAGGAATAATAGGAACTGAACCAAAAAATAACAATAGAATATTACTCGAAGCCATCCACTTCACAAAAAAATAATAGATTAACAGTAAACTACAAAACATTTAGAAACACATTATTCAGACATTTTAAACAAAATTAAAGTATCGTAAAATTAAATACTGTAATATAACCAACATTCTACAATTATTAATATTAAAATAATCTGGTACAAAGGTCGATAACAAACCCCAAGTAACTAAAAGACACTTAATTGTTAATCCCATTCTCCAGATTATATATATATATATATATATATATATATATATATATATATATATATATATATATATATACTGGGGGGGAATTAGTCCAGCAAGTGAACCTATTGTTCCTCTTTGGTAACCCCAAAGATGTTACTACCAGTGGTTGTCTATTGTACCTCTACTCTGTCTTAACCCTTTTCGTCTAATGAAGTTCAAAAGGTTGGGCCATTTTATGGAGGTAACTTTGCATACTTGGATTCTGTCTGCTCCCAGAATTTGTATCACAGTGACGCAAATCGGTCACATTCTGGTATGAAGTGGAGGGCAGTTTCAGGTGCACTTCTGCAAAGATTATATCTATATATATATATATATATATATATATATATATGTATATAAATTATGACAGGAGCACCCGTGGTATTTAGGTAGGTATAACAAATTTGTAACAACATTAACTTTGACAGATATTGTAACATATATTCATTTTATTAAACCTATTTTGTAGCTATTAACTACTATTAATGAAAGCCAGATAGGTATAATTAATGTTCCTTGCACCATAAAGATCGTTTGACGTTGAGTCTTTTACGGAAACGTTTTTATAGTTCTTGAAAACCTAAATCCGGTATTTCTTTACAATTGTGAAACACAAGATGATAATTGTTTTTGCTTCATTTTTTATTTATTCGTTTTTATAATTTCCTGGCTAATAAAATTGAGTAATAAATTTCCTGCACCTTGAAGTTTTCTTAAGATTTATTATTATGCTGAAAACTTCATGAAATAGACGTTTTTTATCAAAGGAAAATGGCTCATTTAAAATTCTTACACGAGAATAATTCAGTTTAAAGTTAACCTGTATTTAAGTTGTCATTTTGATTAGTTTAGTTTCCTTTTGTTTATATAAATTTATTTTAATTAATATTATTTAATTTATTGTACATCGAGTGTTAATGAGCTAGTCTATTACTATTGCTATAGTGTTTGATTGTGACTAATTGTGATATCATTCAATAATGAAGAATAATTAAAGAAAAAATGAGAATAGTATTCTGTAAGAATATTGCTCAAGGGTCTAATGTTGAATTTCAGTTATTTAAAATTAAATTATAATATAGCAATTTAAATATAAATATAATATAGTGAATTATAACATCATCGTTAGTTTATTTCCAAACAGAATAATATACTTCTTTATCTCTACATTATCGTTGTTGTTCATGAAACCGTACTTCCTTAAACTAAAGCCAAAGACCCTTCTTGTTCTGAGTTATATATATATATATATATATATATATATATATATATATATATATATATATATATATATATATGAGAAGAAGTTAGTCGAGGGTGCGGTCAAATAAATAAAAAAAATTAAAATATATTAATTACTTTGATTAAAATAATTAATTAATTAAGGCAAAGATTAAAATCATTAATATATTTTAATTTTTTTTATTTATTTGACCGCACCCTCGACTAACTCCTTCTCATATTATATCAACGGTCAACCATCTCTACATCATATATATATATATATATATATATATATATATATATATATATATATATATATATAACTTAATACGCTAAATTATTCCATGTTATTATTAATTTTAAATTGTATATGATACCGTCTTTTGTTCTAATTGGAACTCAATTTATTGTCGTGACATTTCATAAAATGTCAAGACTAAGTGCTTAGGCTTCTGTTGATCAAACCAGCCTGTTAAGAAAGTTATAATTTGCATTTCTTATTAAATATACGTGCATCTTCAAAGGACTGTAACTAGGAGATTTCAGCGATAGAAGAGTTAATCAGTTTCGTTTTTTTTTTTTTTCCAGAAAGTGAATTTTTGTAAATGTACTCTAACAATATGTGTATATTATACATACATCATCAAGTAAATAATATGTCCTTAAAAAAAAGATTTACAACAAACATACTAAAATAAATCATCAAAATATCCACTTTCTTGACAACAAAGAAAACGATGATACTATAATTGGTCCACTATCATTCTAACCCACTAAATTACCTTAATTTTTTAAAGTATTTATATATTTATTTAAGTAGAGTTAAAAAAAAATATATTATAGCATCACAAGATCCTATATTATATATAAGATATTTACTAGCAGTTGTAGTTTTGACCATGTTCCTTGAAAAATATCTGCTAGAAATGAGTCTGAAAAACATTGTATTATTTATTATTTAATGGTCATTTAGGTTTTTTAAAAGTTATTATATTTATAAGTCGGTTTAATAAAGTTATTAGTCCAACTTTAAAAAATGCGTGTTATTCTGTCGGATGGTTATTAACTTATATATTTTAACATGTGGAATTAACTACCATTAGATGTTATAGAACCTGTTTTGTCATAGTATGTAGTTATGTTTTTGCAGCATAATTTATATTTAATTTAAATAATTCTATATCATATTTCACTTTGTTCCTGAAAAAAAAAAAAAAGGAAACATCGGAATTAGCTTGGAATAAACAGACAGAGAATGTTTTATTATACTGAATATTATTATTATTATTTTCTAACTACTAATATTATTTTTAGGTGTAGCTTTGTATGAATGTTTTGTGGTCTTTAGACTCGAATGTTAAACAAGGCTTAAGAAGTTTAGGGGATCTTAAGTTTTCGTTGATTACGAATATGAACAGATATCTATTTATGTTTTGCTTTTATTAACCGTTAGTTACAAATTTGACTTCGGCTAATAATGTCGTAATAATGGACCATGTTTAAATACTTAACTTATAACTAATAACTGGCGAATATTAAGTGTTTTAATTCTGTTGGTATTAAGTTTTTTTTTTCTTCTGAAGATTGTTTGAATACAGAGCGATGTTAATAATTCAGGTATCTTAATTTTTATTAAGTTTTTCTACTTCTATAATTTAATTTAACTTTTTCTTGATTCTTACAGATTCATGTATTTACAAAGAAACCTCGATAGAGGATCTATGTTTCGTTATATACAATATGCTTCACCTATAAGATACACTTAACAGCAAATATGTGTAAATAAACATATTAATATCTTTAAAATTTCAAATCTATTCTGATTGTTGAATATAAACAATATAGTTTTCAAGAATTCGTGAGAAAGTAAGTGAGGAAGACTTAGAACTTATGAAATAAAAGTTTTAGAAGTCCTTTCCTCAGTTAGCAATATACTTCTTTATCGTCTCCTGCTTTACTTTTTATTTATTTTTTTGAAATTTACCACTGTATTTAAATAAAATAAAACTATTAATTCGAATAGAACAAAATATTGACATGAACACACAGACTTATCCAGAAACTACTCAGTGTTAGCATTCACTAAAGTTTTCTTAGTTATAAGATCCCGATACCATCATTTTTTTTCAGACCTCTAGGAGAATTATCAGAAATCAAAGAGGAAGCAATTTTGTAAATAAGTGGATTCGGATCGGTCTGGATCGGTAATACATAATATATATATATATATATATATATATATATATATATATAAAATATATTATTGATATGTTTAATATCACAAGTCATTCCGTTTCTCTGTGCCCACAGTTCCGGGTTTACTACGAAACCACAAGGCCTAGGCTAATGGGCATATTATTTCGAGGAGCGAACAAAAAAAAAATTGATTCTCAGAAAACGTTTAGAATAATTCATTAAGAAAAGTTTTCTTTTGATTTGCGAATCTATTAGATTATTTTCTAGAGGAAAGTAGCTCTGATAGTTTTAAGATGGAGACAGATCAGTAAAGGAGGGTCTAAATTTCAATTTCTTTTTTTTTTCCTCCATCTTACCTCACCATTTCTGGCTTGCGGGGGATGGGTTTGTTGTAGAGGCACAACCAAACCTATTCTAACTAGACTGGAAAGGTCGAGATTATTTTTGTGGGTTCGCCGCAAAATAAATTTCTACTCTCATAGGTAGGATTCGCTCGATCACGGCGACCTCTACACTTCAGGTCTGAGTAAGGTGGTCGAGGAAGTCAAATACCATCTTATAATTATTTTTGTATCCTTTCCTTGCTTCTAGTGTTTTCCATCCAAACTTATGCTAACCTAGATTCATCCATATTGCAGGACTGTACTGTACACCTCGGATGCGGTGGTGCTCAAGAAGCGGACTCCCATTACAAAGCTGTCTGCAGGGCCCTAGTCGCCGAAGCCCTGGAACTTTCCACCTTCTTGGAGAACGTCGGCACCGGACAGCTGAGGCAGAAGACGACCGAACACCTAGATAATCTCAACTTCACAGATTGGGTAAGTCTCACTACTGTCTTAATATTTAATATGCGTATTTTAAACAAGGTCATAGCCAAATCAGCAGCGCACTGAGCTGGGATACTTTGTTTACTAGAATACTCTGTTTTATTGTTTACTATTTATATATACTAAATAATATACTATATATACTACAATTTATTATATATACTAATATAGAGCAATAAAACAAAGATTTTCTATCAATGGCAGTGACATGCGCCAACTACATGCGCAATTCTTCAATGCTTCTGTAATACCCACCCGTATGCCTGAATTAAGATATATGGGGACCCTAAGCAATAAAATATATCTTGAGTTCTAAAAATATGAGTTATAGAAATGTAAAATATATCTAAAAAAAAACTTTCTACTTATGAGCCATGAATTTAACATTTTATTTCTATATTTGTTTTATTCTTTTATGTTGTTTTTTTGTTTTAACTTTTCGCTCTTTTCCGAAATATTGGAACTAAGATATTTTAAATTTAAATGGTCTGATATCCTATTCAGCCGCTTGCTTAGGCTGCTTAGCGCTTAATCCGCCTGTGATAGCTATGAACGCCGTAGGGCTGATAATTTGTAAACATCATCGATAAAAATACAGTTAACATGGTCTGTTTTATATTGCTCAAGACATCAGTAGGCGTATTGTTGTGGGTGTGTGTCTACCCACTGCTCCCACCCTGCCCAATTTGGATATTTGCGAAACGTTCTAGTTATATTTTTTTGTTGTTTACCTGACGGGCAATTTTTTTGAGCTGTCTTGGGTCATTGCTTATTTTTTTACATAACCATTTTAGATGAATTGTAAATAATAATAATAATAAATAAATAAATCTATTCATTAACCTGAATACCCTCAGTGCTCAAACCACGCCCTGATGATGACCCACATGCTTGGGTTGAAACATTGGCATAAATAAAAAATTAAATATATTAAAAAAAAAAGACAGCGTCCTGAATACTTATCATCCATAATAATCATATTAGATGAACTGTCGGTTTATGGCGTTTCCTTAAATCCGTACACGGAGTTTAGAATTTAGTTAAATTTTGTTGATATAAAGAAACTAAAATTCTGAAAAATAAAAAATATATTCTTATAATCTTATGGAAAAAAATTATTTTTATTCAGGCTTAATGACTTCCTCTTTTTTTAAAAGATTTCTTTATAAAAATTGTCCTTTTATCTCATCAAATAGTAAAATTGGAATTAAACATACAATAATCTGTTGTATTCATCATTGTATTTGGCGTTTTTATCTCGCAATTTTGCTTAATTTTTACCTTTCAGAAGGCAGTGTAAACAAACAATTAATCCATAAAAATGTTCTCGGGATCAATTTAAAAAAAAAATTATAAATAAATATGATACAGTATGATAACATACAGTAACTATGTCTATGAAAACTAACGATGTTTTCAAAATAAAATAAAAGGTTTGCTTATTATACAAATTTTTGCCGAAATCATCTCACATCTTGAAGAAACAAGTATATAATGATTTTTAAAAAATACTGGGCTTTTATTATAAATTTTCCTCTGAATTACATGAATTATCATGATGGCATTTCTTCATGGCATGAACATGAATCATCATGTTTCTTCGCACTATTCTTTCACATGTCCTGCGCTCTTTTCTTTTGCCAAAACATTTACAATGTTTACACCAGATTTTCCTTGTTTGCGGAGGCAAATAGTCAAAGGGTACAACTGAACCAAGGTCGTGAGATGGTTGCTGACTCGTAAATCAATACTAAGACCTGTATCACCTTCAAGTCTGTACCGCACCTCTTTGCCCCGGCAACAGATATTGTAACAAGATACCCGCGATCTTCTTAGAATCAGGTCAGTGAAATGTATCATCTCTCACGAATGGTGAACATAAAAAAAAAATTAAATATTTAAAAAAAATATTTCAACAATATCTATTCATCAAGTTCAAGTTAGGATTTTATCACAAATCGTCTAGCTCTTTTATGGATTAATTATTTTAACTTTTTCCCTACAAAATGAGTTAAATGTTCTGATTTGTAATTTGTTTTAAGTTTTTAAAAGATAAAAAATGTATTGGATTTTACCTTATCCGCCCTATCTTAATGAAGCTGGCCAGGTTCTGAATTAACCACAGTAGAACAAATAAATTTCTACGTGTAATGTGTCTAGCAATGAATGGTTACTGTCGAACATGCCAATGCCTGAAGGATTCAAGGCACATACAAGAGTTCCTAAACGAAGGAGAATTAGTTTAGGGTCACAAGCTGTCGATGATGGTATTAGTTAGTTCAAGTCAATCAATAAAGATAATGCTTGTACATTAAGACAATTCTTAAAGAAGATAAATAAACCTATTTAATAAGCCCCTTATGCTCTTTTGAGATTCATAAACTTATATGAAAGTTCAATAACACTTCTGTAAGTCTATAAAACTATTAAATTATTACATTAGTTCTAGTTACTATAGACATTATGAAATTTAAGACCATCGATACAGAATTTTAAAATTTAGTATAAACATAATAAATTTCACATAACATATTAGCGTCTCGGAATCAATTCCAACAAATAACTAGTAACAACTTAAGAAGCATAGTTATATATTGGCAAAATAAGACATGTCTTGGGTCAAAAAAAAAAAAAAATCCCAACATTTTTCTATTTTAATCAGCTGATTTATAATTACACTAAGCTGATATATGTAAAATAGTGATAGCTATAATAAATAGTACAGTATTTTAGTTTAAACATGTTTGTATTTTAATAAATATAATTTTATTTAACGTTAGCAACCACACACAAAAAAAGCCTGTGTTGATTCTAAAACCAAAACCTTATGCCTCTAAAATATCAGTAAGTGACTAACCAATCACTGTTTCGCCTATTCAGGTAATATAAGTATTCATAAAACTAGTGATAAGTATTGTAAATCTCTTAATTCTGTTAAAGCCGACATTCTTATTTGAGATTAGTGTGTTAAATACGGCCGATAGTATACTCGATTTTAACTCGGCCGAGGTTCTGTTAAAGCTTGTGTAAATGTGCGAGGAAGGCTATTATGATGAGAAAATGTTTTTTTAGTATAAGTATTGTGTATCGAAAGTAAGAATTAAAAAAAACGAGTAATTAGTGTAAATAACAAGAACCAAAACAATTAAATAAATAAGAAATGTGCTATAAACAGCACATATAAATAAAAATCCATAAATACATTAAACTGTATTCAAATAAAAGAAAAATAAGTTCTTAAAAATTAAAATAAACAAATGAAACCAGAATTATCAAAAGTAAAGGTTTTTAACTTATCGTAGTAACACTTAACAGTATGAAAGCACGAGATGTCATTCAAGATTCATGCTGAGCAACATTACACCTCAAGCATTTATCACATGTTATGTGAATACCCCCTATTTATTCCCAGGACTGAAAACACATAAATGTTGACCATAGTTAAGCAGCATATGGTCTACATGTTTTGTGATCTCATGCTTTTTAGTATTGATTATTCTTATACTACAACATCAAGGCTTTGGTTTTTTTTTTTTTTTTGTTCTTCCCTACCTCGCCTTTTAGGCTATACGGGATTTTCCCGGGCCGGGGGGTGAGGGCGGGGAATTTAAAATCCCCTCCGGCACCGGGACGCGAACTCGTACTTTTTATATCATCTCAAATCTCTGTTATCTGGTTGCCAGGCAACTAGCGGTGCTGTTACACACGCTTTAGCCTATTCGGCCACCCCGCCCCCATCAAGGCTTTGGTTATCGAATCTTATAGCAATAACCTTGTAATTGTTTTGTATATGTTTTAAATTTCCTATTGCTAAGGACAGTTTATAAAATTCGTCCCCATTTTTCCTCAAATCGGCCTTACCTAGAAAGGTACATTATAATCACAATAAATTATCGATGTGCAGTTTTCAACGGGTTTATGAGTTTCAAAAGATCTTGTAGTCCATGGTACAGACCCCTTCTTACTGAATTATTAACATCCGCTTGAAACTTTGTAAAAAGCTTCATCTCATCGTAACCTACAAATATTTTGTTTGCGAAAATTCTCGACAAATCTGGAGATCGGCAAACTTTTGTCTATTTAATTAGTAACTAAAAACTCATGAATACCCTTTTGATTTCCACTTGATTTGTAAGATGATATGATCACAAAATAGGGGAAAAAAAGTGACCTACAAATGTATTGGGTTGTTTGGCGTGACCTCCACTTCCAAAATGTTAATATAGGCCAAACGACTCAATATTTTTGTCGGCCAATTTTTTTTTTTGTGATCCTATTATCTTACAATCCAAATGGAAATGGGTATTAATGAGCTTTTAGTACTAATTCAATTAACTAAGTTTGCCGATCTCGAGATTTCAAACGTCCCTATTCCGAGAATTTTCGCAAATAAAATATTCTTAGGTTACGTTGAGATGAAACTATTTACAAAGCTTTAGGTGGATGTTAATAATTTGATAAAAAGGGATCTGTACCACGGAATATTGAGTCCAAAAAAGTAAAAATATGAGTTTGCCATGTCTGCACAAAAATTATCTTTTGCAATTAATTTTTCTTTTCAACCTTTCAGCCCCTAAAGTCTATGTAATTGGATGTACGGAATAGTCGGAAAAATCTCTAATGACTTTTGCTTTTTAATGAAACTTCTTAAAAATCTTTGTCTTAAAGTCGTTCTGTGTGTCGTACATTTCCCAAGAGAAGCCATAAAGAAATTTGAGAAGAAAAAAAAATTATTTGCGCTTAAGTCAAGTATTTATCTTTATACATTATTTAATCCTTATTTCAATAATGGCTCAATTTCCTTCAAATCGAAACTGTAATTGTCCAATTCAGACCGGTATCTGCAACATGGTATTAGACATTGTACGTATTTCTTTAAAAGTATAGACTATAGACGTTCCTATGGGAACTCGTTCAGATGATCAAAAATTAATCCATTTTATTATAGCTTACTTATGTTTACATTCTGATGAATGATTTAATCTGTAATT